TTTTTTTTTTTTTTTTTTTTTTTTTTGACTAGAAGTCTAAACTATACAAGCCGGGAAACGGGCCCGTCGTCCCTTACAACAGTAGCGATCATAGGTCAAGGACCCGGCATCTCCGGCCAGGACGAGTCTTTTATTTTTCCTCTTCCTTCTTTTCATTCCTTTGGACCTTTGCTTCTTTTTTTTTTTTTTCAAAAAGAAAAGGGCGACGGCCTTGAAATATCATCTTGTCGGATTGACCAGCCCCTAGTACTGTAGACTTATTTCATTGCATATTATGCAATACTATGCATATATCTAGGTCCATCTGGATCCGAACTCGGATCTGTATTTTAACAGTTCATGGGTGTACCAACTGAGCTCGGTTCATTGGTAGTCTGTCTGATCATGGCACGCTAAGCAAAGGGGAACTATTGCCAAAAAGAAAAGAAAAGAAAAAAACTACTGCATGCTCATCAAGCCAGTCACACATGCATACATTATGTAGGGCGTAGTTAGATAGTCCTTACAATTTCCTCGAGCTACATGGAAGTTTCCTTGCAGCTCTCAAGGAAATTTTGCGGCCTCGTTCCACATGTCCTCGGGCACGGCCCCCGAGGACGTTTCCTTGGGGCCTGCCCGCGGTCGTTTTCATACGATTATATGCGGCAGCGGGGGGGCGTGTCCGTGGTCCAGCGTCCTGTGTCCGTGGGAAGACGGCGAGGTCCAGCCCCGTCCAGCGGGAAAGGGCAGGGCCAGGCGACGAAAAACAGAATAAAAAATAGGAGACCTCCATTTTCGAAATTCACAATTTGAAGTGCGGCTGTGGTGACGAGCACAACCACCGGCAGGTGGCGCAAAGACGGGGCACAGGCGAATCAGGCTTTGCGGCGGCGCCCCTTCCCGAGAAACGCAGCACTGTGTGCACGTGTGCACAGTGGTAGCGTTCACCGCCATCGGTGCATGCCACTTTGCGGGCGTCGTTCAGCACTGTTTTCCGAGGAGAGCGATGTCGACCCAAATGGGGCAGCTTTGCGGAAGCTTCGTGGGGGCGACCATCGTCACGGCAGCAGAGACTCATCATTCCTGTGGAGGTGTTGGCGATGGAGGGCGAAGGAGATGTCAAGCGTGCATCGTTGACACCACTGGAGAGGACGGCCATGGCTGCAGCCGTGTCTGCCATCGTCCTCCGTTGTCAGCAGGAGCGGGCGTTGGGACGAATGAAGGCGCAGCTGCACGCGCGTAGGAGAAGGACGCTGACGCAAGCTGCACATGACGGCCCCGAATACATGGCGGCTTCCGAGGCTGTCATTCAGCTGTGCTACGCGTTGGGTTGCGACATCATTCCACAGTGACGCCGAGGTGGTGGATGAAACGCAGGACAGGGGGGATGGGGGAAGACCTTCGGCAAGGCGATGACGCCACAGATGACTATTTCCGCGAGAAGCAGTACAGCGACGAGGAGCAGTGTGGGGACCACCAGAAGCAGCGTAGCGACGAGGAGCAGCAGAGGGAGCCTGTGGTACAGGTCGGCCATGAACGGCATGGTGGAGAGGGCTGCAATGCCATGTTTGGAGAGCCGCAGAAGGAGCAGCATGGGGACCACCAGAAGCAGCACAGCGAGGAGCAGCATGAGGACCACCAGAATGCAGCACAGCGAAGAGGAGCAGCAGAGGAAGCCTGTGGTACAGGTCGGCCATGAACAGCATGGTGGAGAGGGCAGCAATGCCATGTCTGGAGAGCAGCAGAGGGAGAAGGATGGGACCACCAGAAGCAGCACAGCGACGAGCAGTATGGAGACCGCCAGAAGCAGCACAGCGAAGAGAAGCAGAAGAGGAAGCCTGCGGTACAGGTCGGCCATGAACGGCACGTTGAGAGGACAGCAATGCCACCTCTGGAGAGAAGCAGAAGGAGCAGCATGCGGACCACCAGAAGCAGCATGGCGACGAGGAGCAGTAGAGCGAGCCTGTGGTACAGGTTGGCCATAACAATTGCGGACATTTCTTGAGCTCGGGAAACCACATGCCGCCGGCCGAAGACGACGGCGCCACCCGACGGAGGCCCACCACCAACGGTAACCGTTGGAGTCCGTTGGAGGACTACGCAGATGTTGGAGGCCGAGGATGTCCGTGCTAACGCCGTTGGACCACAACTGGACCACCCAAGAACAGAAATTCTCCGTCGACTCATGTCTTCGCCACTCCGTGAATCGCGGTTCCTTGAGCTCCAAGGGACCTCGTGACGTCCCTTGGGGATAAGGAAATTTTGGCTGGGGCCACAAGGACGCCACAAGGAACTTACCTTGTGGCGTTTTCACATGTCTTTTTCAATTTTGTCCCCAAGGACAGGTGCAACGAGCGCGTCCTTGTGGATTTCACATCTCCGAGGAGTGTCTAACGACGCCCTTAGTACCTGATGTCCACCCATGGTACAAAGTTCTCCGAACTTTTTAAGAAGTTAAATGTGGCATATACTGTGCACACTGCATAGTCAATCCACTCACGAATCCCGTATGCGCAGTAAGCCTATGGCATACAAGGCACCTTTTTCTTGTGTTTTTTTTTTTTTAATTCGAAAGGCTAATTTTCCCAACCAATTCAATGACCTGTACGAAGCACTTCAGGAAACCGATACATCCTCAAAATAATAAATAAAAAAAAGAGTCTGGCCCATATCCATTCTGGGGAGCATCAGTCCAGAACGTATCCTGAGCTAGGCACTTTAAAACACTAGGCACTTCCCCATTTTACAGCCCGAGGAAGTATAGGGCATCGCCACACCACTCTCGAAATGTGCAATATGAGAATGAACTTCCTGCTAGAAGATGGCCAGATGCACCCGCCCCATAGTTGCGGCGCACAAGTGCACAGTGCGATGCGGGGCGGTGCACACTGACAGGGCCCAAGAGAGAGAGAGAGAGAGAGAGAGAGAGAGAGAGAGAGAGAGAGAGAGAGAGAGAGAGAGA